CTATCATCTTCTGCTTCTAAGAAGTTTATATTTCTATTTCTGATTACATCTTTCTTTAATTGTTTGTATTGTTCAGTTGTAGTTTGACATTCAGCCATACAGTTTCTGGCTATATGACCTGCTTCACCACAGTTGTAACAAATAATTTTTGGTCGAGATTGAATCCTATTTGGTTGGCTTCGTTGGTAATTAACTGGTCTTGGTTTGGGTTTTTCATGAGGTTCAGTAAGAGCAGATGCAATAGTTGTATAGTTTAAGCTCATTTGTTTCATTCGCTGAGTCAATACTTCATTATCCTTTTCTAATTTGTGAGTATTATTGCTTGAGGATGAGATTGGTTCTATCTGTTGAGCAAAGTCTTTTCCTTGTTCATATCGTTGAACTAATTGTCGAGTATTATTTAGATTTTCAGGATTATGCAATATGATTATAGGTAATAGTTCAGGTTTTACACCTTTTTTAAAGTAATATAACTGTTGAGCAGCATCAGTGATATTACATATTTTGATTAATTTATTGAATCTACTATAATATGATTCTATTTCTTCATCTGTTCCTTGTTTAATAGCTTCTAATTCACGTAGCTATTTATTTTTCCATCATTGAGTATAGAAGTTAAGTTTAAAGTTATCTGTGATAGCAGTCCAGAAATCACCCCAATTTGGTGTTCCTGCTGTATTTTGAGTTGCATAGAAGGTTGTTTGCCATTCATCAGCAACTCCATATAAGAAACTAGGAAGAATATCTCTTTTTCTTTTACTATCCCATCTATTAGCAGCAGCAGCTTTCTCAAAGCATTCCATCCAAGTATATAGGTCCTGAGTACCATCACCAGTAAATGGCTCTACTTTAAGTAGAAAAGATTTACTAGTATTTGCCTTAAGGTAGTTCATGATATTATCAGTTGTTGCAGCCATTGTTAGGTTTATAAATAAAAGAGAATTATTTAAAGGTGGTGGGTATAGAGTTGTCGATAAGAAAGTATTGAATAATAAATCAGGAGTAGCTATCTGATTATTATAAAATGGTAATTCTACTAGAGGGTTTAATTGGGTATAAGTGTTTGGGATTTGTTGTATTCTTTCTATGAGTTGATCAAGAGGTTCAGTGTTATCTAGTTCTTCTTTAGATAAGTGAAGTGGGTTTTTCTTAAAACAGTCAGTATATAATGATAATACTGCAATTCTTCCGATTATTTCACAAATATCACCAGGTGAGTTATTGTATCTAATACTATATATTATCTTGAAAATAAGATTTTTGTGTTGAGATAATTCAAATTGTAAATAAATATTCCT